GAGAAGGAAGTTACCGATTGGGTGCTCATGGAGTGTTACAGAAGGTGAGGGAAGAGGACCAACCAGAGTAGGCGGACTGGCCAATAGCTGACCGGGGCACCCTGGATGCTGTAGCGGGTAAGTGAATCACGTCACCGACGGTTCCTAGGCGAGACGATTGCTGACTTATCTCTCGCTTGGGGTTGTGGCACCTGAATAGGATCGCCGGCGGTTCCAGGACGAGGAAATTTCTGACTTTTCATCCAGTGGGTGTTGTAGAGCGGAAGTGAATCGGGCCACCAACAGTTCCCGGACGAGGCAATTGCTGACTTATCTCTCACTGGGTATTGCAGCCCGTAAGCAAATACGATCACCGGGGTAGTGATTATTTGTGATGGTTGTTCTTGATGATAGTTAGCCCTAGCGGGGCAGCGGGGCAGAGAGCGGATTTAGAATGCAAACGCAGACTGAATTTTGCCTGACGCTATTTACCCGGTGTATGAATGTACTGGTCGATGAGGGGTGTTGTGGCGGGTGAGTGAAATGGGAACAGAAGCCAAAAACGTCTAGGAGGTTATCTCAGTGGTGTTGCGTGGAAGTTTCTCTATGTGCAATCTTAAGGTTCTGGATTGATATTGGCCCCTGTCCTCCCACAAAAAAATAACCAGCATACTGGTACAAGTCACAGCTTAGGTGGCACAGCAAGCACAAGAGGAAGTAACCAAAGCAACTACTATAGGCTTGGGAAACAAGAAACAAAAAACCCCCCACAAACAACGAGGAACATAACGGGGAACACAGGCTGCTGCCACTAGTGTGGCTTCCCCCACGCCCGCGACTGATGCCAAGTGATGAGTTGGGAGGATGGCAGTGGGCACCCTCAAGTAGCGACATTCTGCATAGCGAAAAAAGACCCACCAGCAAGCCGGCGAAAAAGATCGTTGGTACCCTGACGGCTGAAAAGCCGATTCTCGGTTCATTAGTGAGTTGGATTTCATATTCCGGGCAGAGGATACGCACTGTGGCTTTCCTGTAACTAGCAGGAAGCCTCCATGATGCAGCAGCCCATTATGATTCTTAGGACCAAATCTGAAATGTGCGGTATTGGTGAACCTCCTACATCCGGAGTCTGGGAGTGCTAAAACTAGGCTTGCTGCAGAAAGAAATCCTCAGGAGATAGTGCAGCATATTGTCTTAGTTCTCGGATTTTTTTCGACTTGGACGGCCTTTGGTTTCTGCAAGTCGGTAGTTGTAACAAGCAAGAATGCGAGTAGGGAGCAGTAAGTATAATGAAAACCCACGAGTCCTGGTAGCAGTGTTCACAACAATCCAGGGGCCCTGGAGGCCCCATGGGGAGACTACCAAGGAGACTGGACTATGGTTTGTAGTCCGTCCTCGTCCTGCCCCGTTGCGAACCCAGCTTGGTAGGAGAGAATAGGAGTCCAAACATCTGCGAGTCCGTTGAAGGAGAAAGGATGTGTGCAAGTAACGAGGTAGAGGTATGGTGGAAATAAAACGAATTGAAGTCTGTATATTCTCACATCTGCGCGTTGGAAGCTTTTGTCTTTTCTAACTGTTGGCCATAACTCGATTCTGATGTTTTCTCCGATTGCTTCTCCGTTCTTATTCTCTCCCTTACACTCTCAAGCAGCGGGCTTTATATACATCCATATCATAGCTTCTCCCATCCAGACCAGTCTCCTTGGTCATCTATATGACCCTGCCTTTTACCCCTCTTTCAGCTTCTTTCTGCTTCTACAGACATCGCTCTACCCCGCTTTGTCGACCAATTACTTTCCCTCTTGCCCCCTCATGTATTTCCTTTCCTTGCCCCACAATATCAATCTATAATACACATCTGTATTAATCTCTAGAACCTTCCATCCTGCTTATCAATTTCCTCCTAAGCATTACAAACATCAGACACCCCCGGAGAAGTTTCCAGTCCCCCGAGTGGCTGTGGATAGGTAAGGGGTTAGTTGAAGTGCCGGTGATTTACAACAGGAAATCTACCAGTTGGTGGTAGGAGAATGGAAGCGTGAAAACAAGGCGGTGTTGGTAGTAAAAAAAACAAAACAAAAAACGGTGAAGCAGCCCTGCTTGCCTCGATTGTCTTTTCAGGAATTCTCTTACTGGGGGGATCTGGACCAACACTCAATACCGGTGGAAAGTTGGAGGATTGAGGTCGAGGAGTTGAAGGATGGTTTGGGGGTGGTTAGGTAGGCTTTGTAGTTGATAGCTCTCATGCTGCAAGCTATCGCGGACTGTCGGTAGCTGGGGCGGCGTACCTCGTAGGTGAAAAGGGCCACCCGAGGTGTTAGGGCACGGCTGATGGGCCTAATAGGTAGGCCCCTCCGCTTATGACATTGGACCGGAGGGAGCAATAGCTTTGGATAATGCATAATGAAAATATTGCCTATGATTGAGAGAGAGTGTCTTGTGGTCCTTGTCATTCTCATGTTCATCACAGGGGTCCTATATATACACAATTATGTCCTCCTGAAATATTTCCTTTATCCCATTATTATCACACCTTATAATGCCTCGACTCTCTCAAAAGCAATATCCCCTAACACTTGATCTGATTCTCCTCTCACAGACTAAAATTTCCTTCCCTCATACCTAGCTTCGCTCCGGTAGTGTTTTGTTCATCTTGTGGGTTGTTGGGTAGCCAGACGTATGCCAGTTAGGCGGTACTAGGGTGGATAAATTAGATTAACTTGGTCTTCACAGCGCGACACACTATCGTCTCAACTCTCCACTAGGTCCTAATCTCTAACTTGGCAACTTTGACTATCATTCCTGAAATCTCTGAGACTTCTTCCGGAAAAACTATGCTTTATTATATATCTCATAACATGTTCAATCTCTTGACTCTTGATACACACGATGAAACGACATCTGAGGAGTAAGACGCTTCGACCACATCACATCTAACTTAACCAAAAGTTTTCGTGCCGCACCATGGAGGTTGAAGATTCCAGGATTTCGGCGGTGCGGGGGATCTGTGCAGTGGACCATCCTGAAGCTGCGGGGAGGGAAACAGTGGGGGGCCGGAGAAATCCTGGCATTATCACCTCGTACGCCGACCCAGACGATACTGTACGATCTGGGTGGGAAAATAGACAGGCCCCCCCGGGTTTCCATTCAAAAATGCAGAAGTTTGAACAACCACTGCAAAGCAGCACAATGGGTTTTATTTTTGTAATTGCAATCAGACTGAAGGGATTCACAAGGAATTCAACATATAAAATTGACAATTTCTCCTGTCCTACTTAACACTGGCAGTGAGGAAATGCAGTGAGCCTGCATGACTGCAACGCGGAAATCGCAGGGAACTTGCCTATCTTGGCAGTGTTTGCGCAGTAGACACTGGGACCACTGGAACTGGGAATTTCGACTGGAGTTTTTGTAACATTGTAACGTTCCGTTCAATTATGTGGATCTTGATGTCAAATAGTGGTTTCTAATAAGGGGCTAGGTTTTACGGAGGTAATGAGGGTGCATAAGCATCTGTTGGATGTTGACACTATATATGGGAAGGCCCGCAGGGGCCTACTTCTTCTGTCGCCATGCTCGCACATAACGGCGAATTCCCGCATCCAACATGCTTGACGGGGTCATCATAAGTGACCCTAATGCACGAAAAGAATTCTGTCCCTTGGGAACTTGATGAAATGCCAGATATCAATCATTCCAGCCATAGATGACCAAGCGCAGCGAGTATCTCCAAACACCACGATCAATTCACACCTCCGCCAGTTATACAGGCTCATACTAGAAAATGAAAAAAGGATACCCGTGTTCCATACCACAGAACTAATGCCCAACCTCGCCACCAAATTCTGAATTCATCTGGATTGAACCCCAGTCTGCGGCCCAAATGCGACCCCCCTGGCTTTGCTCAGCCGGGAAAAGCCTGATCCACACATGCTGCCTAATATCAGATACCCTGAATCAGAGTACTCAGAATCCGGATGCGCGAACTGGTCTCCTACCCCTGCATTTAAACCCAAACTCCAAGGCCTGTTGTGACGTGGAACGTGGACCGTGACAGAGGTGGAGAAGAGATGATCAAAGATACTACCTAAAGAGAGAAGGAAAGCTAGCTAAGAAGGAAAACATATATGCCAACACCCTAAACAGGAATGCCCTGAACCCAGCCACCTCGAACACCATACATGCCCCAAGCGTGGGTATCTGTACCTCCCAACACAACTGCCAAAAAGGCCTGCACAATAATAGCTTTGGGGGAGGGGAGAAATTTAACTCCTACGACCCAGTTGATGGGAAGATGCTTGCAACAGTGGGCTCTCGAGTATGGTCTACGGATGTGATTCTGCAATCAGTAAACTCGGAAACACTATGGATGGTCTGCTTAGGGATGGTTGATATCTTTCTCTTGTTGCCCACCTGTTCTTGGGCTATATAATTTATACTTGTTACAACGGTTTTCTTGACTGCGGGCAAGATGACGGAAGAAATACCCTGTCGTGTCCTGGCGGGGAATGAACATGCTGTACATTCTGGAAGTGCCCTCAGAGCGGATGCGCGGGGGTTCTAGCTCAAAGCCAGCCGGTATGGGTTAGTGTTCCCAGACGCACGGGGCCCCGGCGGGGCCCCACCGGCGGACTGCCAAGGGCCCTGGACGGGACTAGATGGGACGGCCATGTGCGGTGCATCCCGGGCAGTAAAAGTAGAAGACCGCTGTCTTCGGGTAGGAAGACGGGCCCGACGGGGTGAAACACAGTTGAAAAGGGGGACGGCGGGGCATCACAGGGAGCGGCAGGGGACTCCAATGGGCGGCAGGGGAATACTGGGGACCACCGGGGGCTATAGGGGAACCCGTTATCTGGTATCTGTAGGGCGTGTTGTTTGGGTAATTCGCGGTAAACTAGTGCAAAAATCCCTTAGAAGCTGTTCGGGGGACATTGGTTGACACAGTTGTCACGTTATTTTATGTCCAAAGTATTAATAGCAGGACCTAAATATAATCACAGATATATAAGGGGCTCGGGTTGTTACCCTGTAGTTTGTGAATTCCCAACCATGATACTACAGCATTCCCTTTGCCGAGGATGCTGCCGGAAAAACCATCTGAGAAAAGCGAAAAAAAAAGTACCACATTAAAATCTCCAAGGCCTATGATGACGTAGAACTATCCATAGAAGCAAGAAAGGTTATCTTGGTATCGATCACAGATTCATTTTAACAAAAACAGGTGGTACGACCAGGAAACGCGGAGCACAGGAGCAGCGAAAAAAAAAAAAAAACACTATAATACATTGAAACATGACCAACAGCTTTCTAGAGCTGGTAAAGGCGCTCAGAGTTATGCGATAAGGAGGTTGTCAGAAGATGCTCTCATAAACTAGCACGGAAAACCGTTGCAATATACTCAATATCCTGTTGCGTCAGGAGGAAATCAGTCTCATTCTCAGCCCTCGGTCTTAGGACCAGCGCCTCAAAACTGATGATGAAAAATGGAACAGCGCCGGTCGTGGTTGCTGGCGTAGTAGAGCAATCAATACGGAGGCGGTGATCGCAGCGTGGCTCCAGAAATGTGTTCGATCTTGTTGCTGGTCTTGGATGTTGGATTGGTTGCATGCGCCAAATCTCCAAGTCGATAATCCGCTCATCACAAAGGACATGAGAAACAATCACAGCATGGACTGAGTGATTGCTCTGTTCAAACCACCATCGGGCATCTTGTTGCAGCCTTCCCAAAGCCTCCGAGACTCCAGTTTCAAAGATGAGCGTAGGCCAGCTACCCTGGCCGCCCCTTCTCTGATGTGGCAGGATCCCCTCATCGCCCTCTTTACAGGAGTCGCTATATATGGTACGCGTTGGTTTATAGGTTTTAGATCCGATGTCTGACAGCTCTCGGTCAACACCGCCCATGAGGACTGCATTACGATTGATGCAGTTTCGAACGCCCGCTGTAACGGTTTCGTGGGGCCCAGAAGGCAGTTTGATGATCAGGACGTGGGTGGATTCAAAGTATTGTTTCCTAATACCCGCTGATTGAACTGAATCGAAGCTGTGTAGGCCATCGACTGGGGTGTTAAGAAAGGCCAGATAAGGGCAGAAAACATCATTCTGAGAGCTTTGGGTCTCTGCAATGATTCCGAGTACCTGTTCAACTGTAGTGAAGCTGTGTACATGTTCGGCGGGTATCCCTTCAAGAGCACTCTCCAGGTTGGGTTCCGGATCCACTCCAACAGGCAAACCGGTATGAGCTGCTTGATTCTCGACTGCTCCGAGGGGCCTGGTGTTACCGGCCTCCGTATGACGAGGGGGAGCTGAGGGTTCGCCATCATTCGTAACTGGATCGTTCCTTGAAAACTGCCTAGTTGTAGCTTGGCTGGGATGGGTCGGTGGTTGTGGAGTGTTCTGAATTGTTGGAACTGGGTTCTGCTTCCAAGATGGCTCCCCGGTAACCCCGAATGTGGCTGACATGTTGAGTGCGGTAAGGGGAGCAAGAGACAGTTTTGAAAGCGAAAAAAAGTAAGTTGGGAAGAGGTAGGGAAAGGGGTACCCGGGGTTCTCTTAATTATCTCAGTGTCAGTTAGGGCCTGGCCTCCTAGAATAAGATGACTGAGCAGGGCATATATCCGGACCTAAACGATATGTGAGATATATGGAAAAAGGAACACAGTGGCGGCTAGAGATCCTCGCGGCTGCACGCCTGTTGGGTATTAGAATCGGAATTTAGTTGCATGAACCAGCAAAGAAAATAGATGAAAGTTTTTGCTGACAAACCTAGGGTATGTTATGTTGCTAATCTCTCGGGGGGGAAGGCCGTTGGGAATGGTGGTTAGGGTGGTTGGGAGGTGAAACAAGGTAGAGAAAACAAGCGCGTTGGTGGAGAGGGTAGCTGTGTTTGTAGGTGGTGTTAGCGAGCTTACTTTTGTATGGCGGGGTGGGCCGCCAAGACGCTTGCGATTAACTTACTCCTAATCCCTTCGGTCATTTTCATCTGCAACGCTAGCTCCCAGAATACGTAATTCTTAGGGCCTATTTGGATACGGCCGTTTCGTTTCACCATTAAACCGACTGTCTCCTTCCGTTATGAACATGCCAAGACAACTATTTCTCCAGATAAAATCATCACTGAACAGAATGGTCGATGCCTACCGTTCCCACCAAATAGGCCCTTAAAAATCCCTTGCCACCCCTATCGTCATTAGGAATCAATGCTGTCGTAAGTTACTGGAAATTCGCGGGTGTGCACACTTTAGGATGCCCGCTATTGCAAATACTCTGAAAACAAAATTATGCCTACGGAGCGTAATCACGATTGCTCCAGTAGGCTAGTGTTTACTAGTCTGGACAGGGCTGAATGTGTGCCTGGTGCTCCACACTACACCAGTACAGTACAGCCGAGCTTTTGGTAACTACATCTGGTAAGTGCTAGAATAGCGCCTGTCGTGATTACGAGGAAATGGATTCCCTCTCAGGCTCTTTGGGTCAAAATCCGGAGAGCGTGGATTCTCGGGGGTTTCACGGTTAGTGCAGATAAATCACAAGTACCCACAAAACCCATGAATAACAGGTGACAATCCATTATTGACGCAGTGGGCTCAGGCCGTGCTGGTTCCAGGGCATGGGGGACTGCAAATAGACCGATGTTGGGTAAACTGTGCAGAGTGGGGCAGGGAGCCGCAATATCGTCCCTGCGTATCATTCTTTCCTCATTCCCCCATTACCTATTCTTTCTATTGCACAAATTTACTCAAGATATCGACATCGCATCACGAGGATTGGGTAATAACAGGAGCGGCGGTTGGCTTGGGTTGTGCAGGTTGGAATAATCTTTTATCACCATCCGTTATGAGGGTAGTTTTTTTTAGGCTACTATGCTACTCATTTCACAGTACCCAGTAGGATAATGGTGGCTAGTAGAGTGCTCAACTGTCTGAGGCGTAGTAGCGCCCAGGAAGGCGACTCCGAAAAGCCCCAAAGAGAAGGGGCAGCAAAACACACACGAGTAGTGAGCCATCGTCCTGGCAGTCTCAGTATTGTTGAAAATCACCGGTACTCACATGGACGACTGGAAGTCCCTCGGTTAAAATATCTCAGTTATATTAGCTTATTTTCAGTTTTGTTTCTTTTATGTTTCATGTTAGACACTAGGTATTGTGGAAAGCTTATTTGTTGGCATTGTTCCTCAGCCCTCAGTCTGTTCCCGGCTTTTACAATCTGCAGGCAGATGAAAGAACCTCGGAAAACTCGGAACTCGGTAATGGAGTATCTTCCGGAGATGTACGTTGAGTTAGGAAAGGAGCACATTGGATATCGGGAATGTGATAAAGTTGTGCCGTCTTTTGGATAGATAGAGCAGTCTTGTGTTTTCTATTTAAACCACCACAGTGCCGGAAGATCCAGAAGTCAAGCAGGGCTTCAACTACAATACAGAATATGCTTTCGCTTCTTCCTCTTTAGTGTCATACCTCCACTCCGATCGGCACTTCATAATAATAAGTATAGCACTCATTAGGAACAGCGGTGGGCCCTTTGATGCGGGTCGGAGTAGGGGATAATTTAAGATGGGGGGTTGACATTTGGCCTAAAACCTCCGAGAGTCGTAGGATCAGAATAATCAGTTACTTGGATTCACACAACCAGTATTCCCAACGGGCCAGGTAGGCCAGGCTGAACCGAAGCCGGGCCCGGCCTACCACGACTATGGGGGATTTAGCCCGGCTGGAGCCTGCAGGCTTTGAAAAGCCTGGGCCTGTCCTGGCCAGGCCCAGCTGTAGTTCAGATAGGCTAAGTACTTGCCACCTGATAGGCCGGCCCTGCCTACATGGCCTAGCCAAGCCGGACCTATGAATACGGGCCTGCAATCTCTTCAGATCTTTGGTTTCCGTTCGGCTCATCTTTCATGCTACTAAACTAGCCCATGTTATTCCCGCGAGAACAGCAAGCTATATAGTCCCTACGCAGACCCCACGTGTTGGTGTTAATACTCGAGTAGAATGGAACGAGTATCAGCAAGATCACCAACAGTATCAGGCACCGATCCTATATGTGGGCGGTGGTATGCATTTACTCGTGGTTGATGAAAATCCTCGAAGTCTGGCAGAACTAGGTCAACTAGAGCGGGCACATTCACTGATGGATTTAATAGAATTCCTGTGGAAGAAGCTAAATCTGAAGGAAGGATTGTGAGACAGGACTACGTTGGAGAATCTGGAGGGAGATTGCCTGGACTTTGTTGGGCTAGCTGTGGACCGGTAATCGCATAGTTATCATACTTCAATCACTTGAGGATATAGATAAAATAATAAACCACAATGAAAGTTGTAAGGAATCTAGCCATTCTTAAAACAATCGGCTCTAAAAGTCCCACTTGCAGGGCTGCAGCGTTCCCAATGGTCGGACCGGTCTGGTCTTGGGGGCTTGACTGGACCTTCAATCCCGATCGATCATGCGGACTGGACTTGACTACCTTACACAGTCCAGTCTAGTCTAGACCAGTTTCTGACCAGTCCGAAAGACAGGATCTGAGAGTAGTCTGACTCCTATTATTTGATGAGATATAGTGAAAATAGAACTGTTAAGAACCGACTACCACCATATGTTAAAAATAATTGAGAATCAGCCTCTCCCACAATGAAAAAACCAGGGAAGCGAAACAAACGTAGGAAATGTTACCAAACTTGACTTTGGATAGGGAAAACAATATTCTCCTCATATCACCATAGACGCCTTTTATATCAATTTCTTCACCTCTAGTACTAGGACATTCCACCATAGGCTAACTTGGTCCCCCACAAATTCAAAACAAACATCTACTTTCAGACAGGTTGGGCGAAACTCAAAGATACACTAACATAACAGCTGAGGTTTTGCATAAGGGCCGTGCACATTTTATCACTCGGTCCTCTCGGTCTGACCAATCCCCAACCAGTTCGGTCTTGCAACTTGACTGCCCGGTCAGTCTCAAATCTCTCATGGGACTAGACCAAATTTTGACCAGACTACCTAGTCCAGTCTAGTCCATCGCCGACCATTCGGAACCCTGCAGGGCTGTAGGCTCCAACCAGGCCTGATAGGCTTCTGCAGGCCCGTTGAGTTCGGCCTATATCCGCCTAGGCTCATCATCAGAGCGGCCTGCCTTGTCCCAGCCTACGGCCTATCGAGCGGCCTACTAGTGGCCTAGCCCGTTGGTAACACTGGGTGTCGTAGGAGGAAAGTGAATAGTATCACTGACGGTTCCCGGACGAGGCAATTGCTGACCTATCTCTCGCTGGGTGTTGTAGGTGGTAAGTGAAGAGGATGACCGCCGGTTCCCGGATGAGGAAATTGCTGACTTATCTCTCGTTGGGTGCTGTAGGGCGTAAGTGAATAGGATGACCAATGATTCCCGGACGAGGCAATTGCTGACTTATCTCTCCCTGGGTCTTGTAGGGCGTAGGTGAATAGGGTTGCCCACGGTTCCCGGATAAGGCAACTGCTGACTTATCTCTCCATGAGTCTTGCAGGAGGTAAGTGAATAAGGTCACCCATCGTTCCCCACCAAGGTAAATATTGACATATCTCTTATTGAGTGTTGTAGTTGGTAACTGAACAGGGAGTGTCCCTTCCTATCCGAAGTAATTGCTGACCCCTCGCTCGCTGAATGTTGTAGTATGTAAGTGAACACGATTGCTGATCTTTCCCTGTCGGAGTGGTTGCTATCCTCTCGGGCCATCGTATGTAAGTGAATCCGATAAGTAGCCGTTCCCGGTCACGACTCTTGCTAAACTCTCCCTTTTCTGGTTGCTTTAGCGTGTATGTGGTCATGATTAATAGCACTTTCGGTGGAGACAACTGGTTGATCCAGCCTTCCGGCGTGTTATATGTAGTAAATCTGCCGTAGCCTATTGTGGACTATTGCTCGGGTTGATAGTTGCTGACTTCTTCCCGCTCGCTCACCACCGTAGGAGGTAGTTGATCCGGATCTAACCTAGTCCTGCCTGGATGATTACTCACTCCTCGTCCACTTTGTCTTGTGGTATGTAAGTGAACTATCATAACCCTGGTTCTTACATTCGGCGGTTGTTCGCCTCTACCTTGTTGATTGTTATATGGTTCCGGACGTCTCTACTGTGCACCAAATAATTTGGAACGGGGGACGCTTTAGGGTTCAGCCCCTAATTCGAAAAAGTATGGATGCCCCCGAAAACTGAGCCAGCGAATTTTCAGGGGTTGCAGCGCCCTAGCTGCAACCTTGGCACGAGTATGTGATTTAGGAGGTGGGTGAACAGCATCGCCCCCGGCTGTGGGATGGGACAATTGCTGACCTCTTGGTCTCGGGATATTGTAGAGGGTAAGTGAACCTGGTTGGCCTCGGTTTTCCGGCGGCACAATTTCTGATCCCTGGCTCGGCAATTATTCCAGCCGGTAAGTGAACCACCACTGTCAACCATCGTTCTGCAACCGCCCCATCCTAATCCTCAGCTATGCTAGCTGGTACTTTTAGGTCTCCTCCCACTTCTCCCCTTGTTTATTGTAATCGACTCATACAATTGTTCCTCTTTCATAGATTGTACGTAGTAGACAGCTATCTGCTCCTCGTTAATTCTGGCCATTCTTGACAACCCCACCATCGCGTTGTGCAACAGGAGCTATGCATCACAGAACTGCATAGCCCGCTATAGCGGAAAGCTAACAGTTTACATCTTTCCCCACTAAGTTTGTATGTACGCCTCTGCTTTCTTCCTCCCTTGCTTGATCGAACTGATCCTTAGCTCTTATCTCCTAGCTTGTCTGTAAATAATTTCTCCCACATCCCCCCCTCCTACGACTTGCTGGTTCATCGTGCCCATCACGACTATTTTTGTGCCA